CTGCTCCTTGAAAGCAGATGTGTGGAGGAAAATGCATTCCATTAATTAGAAAAAAAGGGGAAAAAGTAAACAGTACAGAACAAATGGTCAAATACATCTCTCCTCTTTGTGCTTAAAAACATGCAGGAGAAAAGCAAGTTCCTGAAAAGACACTTAAAAATGTTGGTTAATTATCCATGTTCACTTAGAGAGGTAGGAAACAGCTGTAAGAGTCACTTGTTGAAAAATCTCAGTGCCATTCCAAGAATATTGAACCTAGACAAGGGGGTTATAGATACCGAGGAAACTGTCTCACTGCTTAATACCATCCTGATGCTTTTCTACACCTTCTTCCCAATTTCTACCAATCTTCATGTTAATTTTCCCATTGTAGAGAGGTGACAATGGATTTCCAGAGAGCTTGATAGCCTGTTTAAAATGATACATCACATATATCACCCAGCAGGGGTTAACTACATCTAATCCTATGACTTACTCCATTGTACTTAAAGATAGAACTCGCAATGTTTCCTTTCCTTTGTTCTGAAACTATAGTTCATTCTTAGTATTCTATGAAATTTAGGCTTGGAGATGGCTTGGTGGGTAAAAATGTTGGTTGTATGAGCATGAGGATGTGAGCTGGGATTCCCAGCATTCACATAGAAAGGCAGTGCGGTTGCATGCCTGTAACGCCGGTGCTGGGAAAGGCAGACAGGAGGATAGTTGGTCAGTGTAGTCCCAGTCACGTGGTGATATATTGTTTATGATCTAGTAAAGCTTGCCTGGAGATCAGAATGGAAAGCTAGCCACAACCATAGAGGCCATACACCTTTAATCCCAGCAGCCACACTAGTTAGTCATAGAAGATGGGTGGTTGTGGTGCAAACCTTTAATCTCAGCACTAGAGAGGTATATAAGAGAGGAACAGGGTCTCAGAACAGGCAATTAGTCTCCCACCACATTGAGGACAGGATCACCTCAGCCTTGGGAGAGGTTAAGACCTCTCTGGTGGCTTGGATGCTTTGTTTTGCTGATCTTCATCTTGAACCCTAATATCTGTCTCTGGGTAATTATAAACAGTATAGATTATAGATGTGGCCCTCAGTTCCCTTTCAGGAGTTGGGTGTGAGTCCTTGTTGTTGAAGACAATGCACACTTAGGACATAGAACTCAGATGGTTAGCACTGGACCTGATATGAAAGCCTCTGTTTCACTCTCTAGCTTCCATGGTTCCAAAAAATCCTATGCCAGCTAACAAGGGAAAGAGCAGTGAAATAGTCCTACCCAGCTGCAACCACTTATGAACCAAGACAATTGCTAGCATGGTGAGATATGCATAAAAGTGCAACAAGTGTAATTTACACGTCGGTGGTAAACAAACGCTGTCTAATTGGACTTAAAGTCCACTAACAAGATGGAAATTTTGCCCAGTATTCAAAACAGAACCAGTACCCCAGGGGCTGCTGAGGACATTGTTCTTGGAAAAGAATCCATTACTACTTTGCGGCATAATTCCTTAGTGCGTTCTAAATTAGACCCACAGATAATTGTCGTTGTCACCCCTAATCACAGAAGTCTCTCTTTATAGCAAGTGGAGACCATCACAGAAAACCTTATTGAATAGGCTAACAGATCGTGAGTGAGGACCCCCACTCCAATGGCTACATTTACATCCCTTTTCTGTATCTATAGCTCAGGGTGAATCTTAGAGGAGGAGATTGCAAGAGCCCAGAATACCAGGAAGTTAACTGTGAAACATGATCTCCTAGAAATGGCTGCACAAACAAGACCAGGACAATGGCAATATCAATGGCCATATGAACATGGAAGGGTGAAAATGTAGCTATGTCCTAACTCTAGCTTGACAAAGAACTACAGACAACTAATGACTGCTGGGAAAAGAGAATTAGCCTCTCCTAGAATGAGCATCCTGATTGGTTATCTAATGCAATGTTGTTAGTCTTGAAACCATATACACACAAAGGAAAAAAAAAGCAGGCTCAGAAGGTTGTATTAATTTGTACATACACATATGTGCACACACATATGTTACAATAATAAAGAAAAAGGACTACCAATCAGCCATTCAAACATTAATTGACTGGTGCACAATATGGTATGCCATATTAAAACTAGAAAGTCCTATCTTCTGGTTTTACAGTGCAGATTCAGTGTATCTCTAGGTAGGTTGTACTCAGGTTTGTCTTTGTATCTGAGTCTCCAATTGTATAGGGGCAAAGTGTGCACCCTATCAGATACAATGAAGGAGGCTTTCTTACTTCAAGTGAACAGTAAGTATCTTGGAAGGCTAGGATATTGGAAAACCAATGGCCATGAAATCTATCCCAAATCAGTGGCTTACAGATCCTTCATATTATGAACTAGAAGAATGAATTTCAATGGGCTTTAGAAAGAATTTTATTATAAGTTCACAGGCATCAAGCAGAAGAACTCCTGTTTACCAAAAGCCAGTCCCAATAATTGGGTTACTGCTGAGGGTTGTTGTCTAGGAACTCAAGGTTTTTCTGAGTTGACACATGGAAGATGAGCTGGTCAGTCCCATGTTCTACCCACGAGGCACCCATGTGCCTCCATCCTAAGTAGGACTGTAGTCCAGTCACAGCCCCATGAATTGCTTCCAGGCAACTGAATAAAAGGAGAAGCTGAATAAACAAAATGCTAACAAGAAATCAGACCAGGAAGGGAAGCCCCTAAGCACTACTGGTGTTTATGGCCTCTTGTGAGTTTCTGGTTGTGACCTAGGACAAGAATCAAAGTCCCTGTCTTTAAACTACCTAGCCAGTTCTCACTACCTTGCTATATAAAATTTTGCATCTATTGGAGAGATTACAGGTGTGTGGCAGAATGAACGTGTCACTGGATTCAACACATAATTTTTTAAGGCAAAACAAAAAAAAGCTTTGATTCATTAAGTTACATTGCTTACAATTGTTTTGATTTCTGCCAACAACATCATTCATGGGAAAAAGGGAAGATGTGATAGCTTGCTGATTTCTTTGTTTTAATTTCTGATGAATTGCTACATCTCTTTCATTCTTTTATTCAAGGCTTAGGATGAATGTGCCAACTAATGGGCAGTAAATCAGGACAAAAACAATCCTGGTATTTCCAACCAGATAATGAAAAAAAGGAAAAGACATCATCTCTGTAATAATAAAGATATTTTAGAAAAAAACTACATGTAAAATTAGAATCCTTTGGCTGAATTTACGTGAAAAAAGGTGGGATTGCATCAGGACGATTTAAGCATGTGAATTGTATTAAAAAAGAAAATCAGTCAAACTGGCTTAAGTACAAAAAGGTAGCCATATTGATGTAGCCTTAAAATGGGATTTACTTACAGGACCAGAGGTGAAAGGTTACTCATAGGAACATAGGTGATTAAAAAGCATTGGGATTACTAAAAATCCCACCCCACCATAGGTAACAAGTGGCAAAACCTGGATCTTCAGAGCTCTCTGCAACTTGCAAGGGAGGGCAGTGGTAGGAGATGCACGCTCCTTTTCCTTGAAATTGTTTCAGCTTGTGTAAACTTGGGAAGGGACCTTGTGAATCTTGTGGGTTTTTTAAAAAAGCCTTCTAAGTTTTGTTTACTTCCTGGGCCTTGTATGTTTACTTACCTCTGTAACTTTATGAACGTCTCACCTTCCAGCATAGAATGTTTCCATTTAGAGGAAGTCAGGCATGTAACTGCTATGGATTAGACAAAGCTTACACAGGTTATAGAATTTTGAGGACTGCACAGCCTTTGGCTGAATGGAGGTGGGAAACAGGGTGAAAATTTGATGAATGAGTGTGTAAGAATAGGGAGGAAACAAACCCTGACAGGTGGCAGTCACAGTTCTAGCATAGTCTTTCCAGGCAGACGCCCTTTGAGTTTTATCTTCTCCATGTTGAAACCAAGGGCTTGTAAGCCTATGTTTTGTTTTTCAATATTTTTTCTGTATCTTTTGAGAATGTTATTTATGTATGCAAATCATTTTGATAATATCCATTCCCTCATTTCCCTCCTCCAACTCCTCTTGTAACCCATCCCCCCTCCCAATTTCATGTTCTCCTCCTCCTCGTTTTTTCCCACTGAATCCATCAGTGCTGCCCATTTATACTTGGGTATGGTAGCCACTGGAGCACAGGTAACCTACCAGTGACCACACCTCCAAAGGAAAATGACTCATCCACCCATACCAAGACTGTGATTTCTAATGTTTGGCTCAGTTGCTAGGAGTAAATTGTTTCTTCTTTTAGACTGAGCTGACATTTATGATGCCTAACTTTCCTCTGCACACTTGTCCATTTTCCCCACTCTGCTGCAAACTGAAGCTCTAGACAATGTAATGTGAAGATCATTTTCTTAGGAAAGAAAATAGACCAGGGCAGCAGTGGTGCCTGCCTTTAATCTCAGAGGCAGGTAGATCTCTGTGAGTTCGAAACCACTCTGGTCTACAAAGTGAGGGCTGTCCTGTCACACAGAGGAAGCTTTTCTTGAAAAACAAAACAAAACAAACAAACAAACAAAAAACAAAAACAGAAATGTAATGTAGTATAAAATATATATTCAATAAGACATTGGTACAGTGTGCTACATACTTAACTATGTGTCATCATTTTCTTATTGCCTATCTTAGTCTAGATTAGGCCTTTTAAATGAATGCATGTCTCTGTCCTCATGGTTCTAGGGTGGGGAGTTCCAAGGTCAAGGATCTTTCTGGTCTGGTGAAGAAGCCCAATCTGCTTCCAATACTGAATTCTGTATTCTCATGTGTCATGCTACTTAAAGTCAACTTTCTGATACATTAGAGGTTAGGCTTAATGAATATTTGTCTAGCCAGTTTTCTTTTTTGCCCTTTCATATAAAAAGTCAGTTATGAATATTATCACATGCATTTTTATTTTCCAATGCAACATCCTGTCTAGAGCTACGAAGGGTCTAAGATTCTATGCTATGTGGAAGGTAAGATATTAGACTCTTCTTTGGTAAATATTATCTCAGGATACAGACTGTTGGATCAGAGGATAGTTTATTGTTCACAGAGTATCAACAATATAACATATCAGAATAATTTTTGGGAGGCCACGTTGAACTGGTCAATATGGGGAAACTTATCAAAATCCTAGAAGAAAGGAGGTTTTCATGGCCTCTCTCTATTGATACACACTTTCTTCCAAAGGCCATTGAAATAAACTGAGTAAACAAATTGAATTTTACAAAAAATGGAGTGTCTTTCTGAAAGAATCTTAATAATATCTTGGGTTGGGGAAATGAAGGTCATAGATTCACAAAATTTTGGAGCTTGGATTTTTGGTGGGTATTTCAATAATGAGGTCTAGTTGGGACTGGGGAATGTAGCCAATATAATAGTTTAGGAATAGTGGATACAGCAAGGTGAAGGTTTTTCAGTAAATCTTGACAATTAACAACCTTTTGGGAAGCAAGCAATTCACCCCCTTGAGGTACTCATTGTTCTCAGGAGGAGGTACTTGCTCATGAGCATTTGGGGAACTAATTAAATAGCATGGAATTTCAGATTGTTGCAGTTATTTTACTGGGTAAATTTTCCCTACAATAGGAAGAGCACATTCCTGTTGACTGTCCTTGTTCTTGATCCCATTAACATTTGAATGTGTAGCTGTAGCTCATTTGTTTTCATAAGATGTCAGTTTGTGAATCTGAAGATTTCATCTTATTCATTAAGTGGAAGAAATACCTGTGCAGGAAAGACAAAGAAGTAACATGAAAAGTTGTGGTATGGGCAAAGTATGGGATGAAAGCAAGGGTGTAATGGCAGCCATTACCAACCTGTGAGGTAAACAGTAAAAAGACAGAGCTCATGCATGGGATAAGCATCCAATCCGGAGCAGGTGGGATTACATAGTGCAGCTGGTGGGCAACAGGCCAAGATGGGCACAGATTTACAGGTAATAAAAGGCCCTAGGACCCGCTCAGTACATGTACTTTAATAAAGAACTTGTCTAGCCTTTGTTGTAGCTTCTTGGCATGGATTTCATGAGTGGCAGTAATATCTTTATTATAATAATATGGTGGTTAGCACCCTGGCAGTTTTATAATTTTAGGAGAGCATTGTTCACAAGAACACAAGGGAGAGCAGAGGGCTGGGGATTGATCTTCACCTGGCCACCAGTGACTGGCTCAACCTTGACTATGTAAGTGAACACTTTTTATATTCTTCCTCTCTCCCTTCTTCCCTCTCTCCCTCCTTCCTTTCCTTCTTTCCTTTCCTTTCTTCCATTTTTTGAGTGTGTGTGTGTGTGTGTGTGTGTGTGTGTGTGTGTGTGTGAGATAGTCTTCACATGGAGGGCAGAAGACAACAGGTGGAAGCTTGTTCTCTAGTTCAACCATACAGATGGCAGCGATCAGACTCAGGTCAGTCTTGGCAGCAAGTGTCTTTACCAGCTAAACGATCTCTCTACCTCCCCTCCCCCAGTGTAAATGCATTCTTTAGAAAATGTTGAGAACTGAAAGCCATTTGGAGCTTTCTGGCTAGTAAAGACACAGGATGCTAGTGATACTGATGTGGTAAGGGCTTTCTTAGAACAAAGAAGCAGTATCAGTACAAGTGCACACTACGGCATTACTGTGTCCTCAGTATCATGGCACTCCCATCTTACCCCTATAGCCTTGATGTCTTAATACCATGCCATCACTATGGAATTTGTGTAGCCTGAGTGCCAGAGCTCTATAGACACAAAATACCCAGTAAAATGTATGCTATTATATTAGGGAACACAAAGGCTAAAATTCTACACGAGGCAAAGCTCCACTGTGCTAATGGATATCAGCCTTTGGATAGAAATCTACTGAGCGAATGCTGGCACAAATAAAATTGCTTCCTGGCAATATGTCTTACTGTCCTCTCTCCCTTACTAAGGATGACATTACACCGACTCCATGGCACATAACACAAAACTGAATTCACTACTTTAAGTCTCTTAATTTGTCTGCTACCCTTGTTATAAGACTGTAATAAAAAGGCTAGTACTTTCTTGCCTTTGTGATTTGCTCTAGTGTATCATTCTGGATGAGTAGCCAGTGGTTGGCTGTGTGGGTGACCTGGGTACCCCAGCTTCTAATATCTGGTACTGGTTTCTAAGGAGAGCAGCTTTGTGCTTCAACGAGTCCCCAAACTGATGGAGTTTAATGCTGCCTTGGTGTCATAACTGAATGGTAGTACAGCAACTAGTATTAGACCCCTGAGACAGAAACAGGGTGATATGCCATGGGTAAAGAAGTAACTTCCACAGGGTAAAGAGGAGGAATACTTCCAGCTATGTTTGTTGGGAAGATATAAGATGAAGAATCTGGTAAAAACTGGCAAAAACACGGTTCATAAAGAAAAGAGAAATCTAAACACTTTAAAAAATAGCTTTCTATTATAGATTAAAAAACAAAACCCAGCTGGGTATGTCAGTGCACGTCTATAATCACAGCACTGCTATAGAAGCAGGAGAGTCATAAGTTTAAGGTCATTTTTGGTCACATGATGAGTTCAAAGCAAATCTTGGATATATACTGAGATCAAGTCACGAACAAATCAAAACGAAACTAAAATAAACACACCAAAAGTCAGAGAATCTCTTATTTCCTTCCAAATTATTACAATGCGTAAATTTAGAAACATGATTTTTCTTTAAAAAATGACCATTTCATTTCTTTCTCTTAAAATGCCTAGTTCGATGTTCCAGTCGTGTATAGCCTTAATTACAAAACCAATACTAAGGATGGGTTTTAAGTAGAACAAGAACACTCCAATGATTTACATAATCCCCCCAGGTTTTTTGCTGCTAATGGAGAAAGAGATATGTATTCAAAAATCCTAGCAGCAAACTGAGAGCAGCTTCAATCACTGGAGGGATTCCACTGCTCTTAGACCTGGAGCTATATAAAACGTTATCTCCCTAGCTAATTGAAATAAAGTAATACTGAAATTGCTAGAGGTGAAATGTCCAAATTGCACACTTAGCTGCTGAAATCATATCAGCAGTGTTTGAGTCTTCCTTCAGATTTGTTTTTGTTTCTATAAAATGGAGAAACACCAGCTGTCAAGACAGAAAAAAAAAAAGAATAAAAGATGAATGTTACCAACCTTTTTGCTTCCACACCCTTTTAGAAGATGTGTAGAAATTGAAGAACATTTTATAACCACCCTTGTCATTAGCACAAAAGCCCCAGGAAGCACTGCATAAAAACGTCTTTGTTGGCTCTTCTGTATGTGTCTCTATTCGTGAAAATGGTTTCAAACAGACATCCAAGTTATTTTCCAGTAGACCAGGACTTGTCAATGACTTCTTTATCCTTGAGTTGCATTATGGGAAGTCTTCTCCAGAAAAGGTCCCCATACCTTTATAATTTCATGCGTGTTCATCAGAATTGCTGCCCATTCCTGGAGAAGAGTCACAGTTCATGCAAAGGAAATGGGAGGGAGATAGGTGTGGGTAAGAAATGAGATGGGTGAGGGTAAGAAATGGCAAAAAATATTCGCTGAAGAAGGACATAGCTCTTAAAATGTTTGAAGAATAAACACAAAATTGTTCTGTGCTTTTTCTGGGGAGTTGTGAAAAGACATGTATTCACCCTAGGTCCTGCGCCAATGACAGAGAAAGGATTCTACCCAGGCCTAGCTTGTTTATCCAATGAGGCTATTGGGGTTGCTTACAGAGTATGGATGACTCAAAGACAGCTAGCTAGCTGTGTCACGGAAAGGCTTGCCCTGGGTGATGACTCTTGGGAGTTGCATCTCTAGAGTTTTCTGCTTAACCCTGCAGGCAGCTCCACTAGAGAGAGAGTCTAATTTCCTGAGAAATTGTTCACTGCTTTCACAACCTCTGATGGGGCCTGGCAGATGGCAGAGTTTGCAAGCTTCCTGACCTGTTGAAATTCACCAGTTTTCTTAGTCTTACAGGCTTCGCCCTCCCTTCAGGAGGTGTATTTCAGTCCAGAAGAAAACAAAATGCCATTAAACCGTGTTTTTCACCAGTTGCTGATTTTCCCTAATACCATTATTATATTAAAGGTGGGAAATGGTGACTTCATGATTATCTCATTTATTTCTTCATTGATTTGGCGATCTTCTTTGGGGAAGTTCTTCCCCCTGCTCCAGCTTCTGTTTGTCTCTCACGGCCAGATGAACTAGAGTTGTCAGGTTTATGAGACATCACTGTTATTATTTATTTTGATATCTTCTTAGTTGGTGTCTCAATCTTTTCCTCAGGGTCACTGTGATGTAACTGCCTATAACTTTGTAGTTTCACACATCTTAGTCAGAATTGCTGCCCATCCCAAGAGAAATGTACCAGGTTGAGTTCATGCAAAAGAAATGGGAGGAAGATATTTCTGGAAGGCAGCTAAGAAAGATTAAAACAAGGAATGGTCTTTCTGTTACTGTATGTTACTGGATTATATACACAGAATAACAATATGCATATCTGTTGGTCTGGCTGACTATTGAAAATAATTTGAGATTCATTACTGTATAATACCTATCAATAGAACATTAATTTCTATTGATTACTAGTCTGTTATTTTGATATATTGGTTTGTATATGCATTGTCAGCAGTGGGCATCTGGCTTTTTTTTTGGCTCTTAGAAAAGAGCCAAAAAAATAAAGAAATAAAGTTGCTAAGAACATTCATGTGCAAGTCTTTGTGTGAATATATTTTTAAATGTCTTAGGCAAATATTTAGAGTCCTCCCCACCCCCACGTGTGTTTTGGAATTTCTGTCAGTGAATCAGATGGCTGTAAGTACTTGGGCTTGTTTTGGAGTATTTTATTTTTATTCTTTGAAATACATGTTTACTTTGTGCCAGTCTTGCAGCATTTCTGTTAATATAGCTTTGCAATATAGGTTGAAGGCAGGGGACCTGTAGAGCTGTTGCATCATTTCCAGGGTTGCTTTGGCTGTTCAGGATCGTTTGTGTTTCTGTATGTACTTGATTTCTTTTCTGTTGACTTGAAGAATGCCACTGGAATCTTGATATTTGTCTTTTACTTTTGCCAACATGGCACTTTTATAAGACTCCATAGATCCACAAAGAAGGACACATTTCCATCTTCTAATGAGCTTTTTAAACTTCTTTCTTCACTGATTTATAATTTTTATTGCAGAAGTCTTTAATGCCCAAGGTTAAGTTTATGCCAAAGCACTTGGTGGAGCTTTTGTTTGTGTGTGTATAAAAGGTACTTTGTTTTTTATAGATTCTTTTGGAGCTCATAAGAATCATTTCTTAACAATGTTTTCAAGAGCATTTCCTTTTTATTTTGATGAAGTAAAATCATTTTTTATTCACTGGGGTTTTCACTGAGTATACAAGAATATTGCTTAATTCAAAGTCATTCATTTTTTAAAAAAGTGTTTTGCTATGATATTTCATTGCTGTGGATTTAAATTATGTTTCTGGATCATTTCGGTTTAATTTTTGTATACAGCATGAGCTCCAGATCAAAGTCCATAGCTTGCAAATAAACATTTAATTCTCTTAGCATCAGTTTTGAAAGACCTTTAACTTTATTCTCACATCTTTCTCAGAGCTTATTGCCCATGCAGGTGAGTTCTTATCCATGGGCTCTTTCTGTTTGTTCCATTGATTTGCAATCTCTGTTTTCATGGTGAGATAGTATTATCTTGATTACTGTGGCTTTGTAAATGGTCATTGCATTCTACATTGTCCTTTTGAAAACTTTGTTCACTATTTTATTTTAAATTTTTTTCTGTAATATAAGCAGAAAAATTAACACTTTTTGTATTATCAAGACCCATTTTCACTTTGTATTGAAACCCATAGTGCATCGTTATTAACCAATCACAAATACTGCACAGTAGAAGAACCTCCATAACTTCACTATGAATTTTCCTTCTTACTAAGAGGCGATATGGTTCTGTTATCTTTTGGCTTTTTGAAAGCTGCCATTCTTATTGGGGTGAGGTGATATTTTATTGTGGTTTTAATGTTCGTTTTTCTTGTTATTAGCGAAGATGAAAATTTATTCATATACATGTCAGCTATTTGTCTTCTTTTGGATAATGTCTCCTTAAATCTATCTCCAATTGATGTTTTATTTACATGTATTCCTGGGTTTCTGTGTGTATGCCAAATATCTGTGGCCTACTGAAGAGGCCAGAAGATGGTGTGAATGTTTTTTGTAGCTAGTTTTATAGGTGGTTGTCAGCTACCTGATGAGGATGCTGGAAACTCAACTAGGGTTTTCTGTAAGAGCAGCAGGCTTTCTTAAACACTTAGCCATCTCTCTAGCCCCATCATCACCAATTACTAAACTAGGTTAGTCCTTACTTGTTTTCTTTTATCTTTCTTTAATTTGCAGGTTTTTTTTTTTTGTATATTCTGGATATGACCATCTTATCTGGTGCATAGTATACCATTATCTTCCATTCTGTAGATTATCTCTTCACTTGATTATTTCATTTGCTGTGCAGAAACTTCTTTGTACCATCTTGTTTTGCTTTTTGCTTCCTGCAGTTTTGAGGTCTTTTTCTCCAAGTTCATGTTCATTCCAACTGTGTAACTATTTCCTCTAAATTGAAGCATCCCCTCCTGTAGGGAAGAGAGAAGCTTAAGTAAGAAACTTACCAGGTTCTGGAAGCTGAGATCACAAAATTCACAAGGCCTCTCCCCAGGGCTGTAAGAGTAGCAAACAATCCATAGTGAGAAGACTTGGATGGATTTACCTGCAAGTTGGGCAGGCAGTCCTAGGGATGTAACATTTTATACATTGTCACTCATACTGGCAGTGGGATTTTTCAGTGTAAAAGCTGCCATTGATTGGGTCATCCATGTTTCTATAAGTAGCTCCATGTATGCCATGGCTCACTAAGCTAGAATTGTGTTGAGTCATGCTTTTTGTCTGTCATTGGTGACTTACCGAGGTCAACAGACCCTGGTTCCTACAGTCATTACAATAGCCAGACTGTTTCAGCTTCATTCTGTTTTGGTAATTTCATGACTTCAGGTTGTACATTTAAGTTCTTTAGGCAATTTGAAGTGATGTCTGTAACTGGTGCTTTAGATAAAGTGTTAACTTAATTGTTTTCCATATGGATATTTGTTTTGATTATTTTAATTATTTAGAATTTCCTCAAAACTTTAAGGGGCAGTTTATAAATTTACTCCAAAACCTAAACTTTTTATTAGGATTATATTGAACCACAGATAAATTTGAGTAGAACTTTAATTTCAACATGTTTTCTTCTGACCCAAGAACAGAATACACTTCTATTTATGCCTTCCTTAAATTTTCATAGCATTTAAAAATACATTCTTCCATGGTAAATCATATTTTTAATCACTATTATTTAAGCATTTCATGTATTTTGATGCTCTTATAAGTGATATTTCTAAAGAGCTCTATTTCTGCCTGTTGTATTAGATTTTCCGAGACTGAATATAAGATATGTATGTCTAGCCGGGCGTTGGTGGTGCACGCCTTTAATCCCAGCACTCAGGAGGCAGAGGCAGGGGGATCTCTGTGAGTTCGAGACTAGCCTGGTCTACAAGAGCTAGTTCCAGGACAGCCTCAAAAGCCACAGAAAAACCCTATCTTGAAAAACCAAAAAAAAAAAAAAAAAGAAAAAGAAAAAGATGTGCATGTCTGACAGCACTTCACTATTCAGCCTCGTTATTAATTCCCAAAGATTATTTATTAGATATAAAAACTCAGTGTATGCATTTTTAATAGATATTCTACACAAAAGGGCAAGTTGTTAACGGCAGCTTCCTTCCTTTCCAATCTAGACAGCTTTTTATCCTTTTTTCTTAGCTAATTGTCATGGTTAGACACTCCTCTACAAGTTTGAATAGAAGAAGAGGGAGTGGATAGTCTGGCTAGATTTTGTCAACTTGCACGAACCTGGAACCAGCTGGGAAGAGGAAACCTTAACTGGGGGAATTGTTAGACCACGTGGTTCTTAGGACGCTGGAACTGATTTTGGGAGCAGTTGGAAGTTTGTGCGAGAGAAGGCCCATGCTGTTCTAAGCCTTGCTTAATGGAGAATTTGAGTGCCATTTTTGGGAGGCAAGAATGGTGATAGAAAAACGGACAGCAAAGACCATACTCATGAGGTTTCAGATGGGAAGACGCCATTTCCAGAATTTTACATGCTGGAAAAGAATTGGTGTGCATTTTGCCTGTTTCCTCAAAATTGAATGAGATTGAATTTAAAAGGAATATGCCAATTAACTTAGTGAGGGAAATTTCAAGGTAACTTAATATTCAGTGTTTGGCATGGTTACTTTAATTGAAATTGGCTAGGCTCACAGTGAGAATCACACACACACACACACACACACACACACACACACACACAGTATAATGTGTGAAAAACATTGATTTTGTACAAGAAAGGAACATGAGTTATGAGGCCAGAGGGTTGTGGCTCATGCCTTTAATCTCAGCACTCAGGAGGCAGAGGCAGGGGGATCTCAGTGAGTTCGAGACCAGCCTGGTCTACAGAGCTACACAGAGAAACCCTGTCTCAAAAAATAAAACAAAACAAAAAACAAAGCAAAAAACCCAAAGAAAACCCAAACAAATAAACAAAACAACAGAAAAAAAAGAAAGGAGCAAGAATGCATGAAAAGTGGTGGACAGAGATGAAAACTGTTGAGTGGGTCA